GCCCAAGATGGCTTCAAGATGGTCTACGACGGCCCAAAAGGCCCCCAAGAGGCCCCCAAGAGGCCCAAGAGGCCTCCAACAGGTCCACCAGGAAGGCCCGACGAGGCCAAAATCAGTGATTTCCATTAAATTTCTGAAGGATTTTGGCATTTGCGCCTTTTCGGCTTTCCGACGGCCCAAGAGGCCCCCAAGATCGCCCAAGAGGCCCCCAAGAGGGCCCCATGACGGCCCAAGTGGCCCCAAATATTGCCCCAAGAGGGCCCCAAGACGGCCCAAGAGGCCTCCAACACGCCCAAGATGGCCTCCAAGACGTCCAAGATGGCCTCCAAGACAGCCCCGAAGCGCCCCAAGAGGGCCCAAGTCGGCCCAGAAAGGCCCCCAAGACAGCACCCAACGGCGTCAGACGTGCCAGGAAGCCACCAAGATGGCCAAAGTTGGCTCGAAGCTGGCCCATGACGGCCCAAGAAGCCTCCAAGAGCCTCCAGGAAGGCCAGAGGAGGCCAAAAACACAGATGTTCGTAAGGTTTTTGTCGGATTTTGAGATTTGCTTCTTTTCCGCCTTCCGACGGCCCGAGACAGCCCAAGAGCCCCCAACCATCGCCGAAAGATCGCCCAAGAGGCCTCCAAGATGGCCCCAGAACGGCCCAAGAGGGCTCCAAGACAGCCCCAAAAAGGCCCCCCAAACGGCGCAGGAGGCCGTTAAGACGCCCAAGATGGCCTCCAAGACACCCCTGGAGCATTCCAAGAGGGCCCCAAGTCGGCCCATAGAGGCCCCCCAAACGGCTTCCGACGGCGTCAGACGGACCAGGAGCCCACCAAGAGGCCCAGGTCGGCCCAAGAGGCCTCCAAAAGGGCCTCCAGGAAGGCCCGAAGAAGGTCAAAATCACTGATTGCCAATTGGGTTTTGAAGGATTGTGGCATTTGCTTTTTGTTCGGCCTTCCGACGGCCCGAGACGGCCCAAGTGCCCCCAAAGATCGCCCAAGAGGCCCGAGACACGGCCCCAAGAGGCCCCAAGACGGCCCTAGAGGTCTCCCAAACACTCCAGATGGCCTCCAAAACGGCTCAAGAGCCCCCCAATACGTCCCCCAAGAAAGCCCGAAAGGGTCAAAATGGCCTCCAGACGGCCAAAATGACCTTCAAGATGCCCACGTGTTCCCCGAAGGATTTCCCAACCGACTCGGGGAACACATGGTAAGATAGCTTGGCAGGTCTGGCCTCAACGTTCGGCCACATAGGCGCTTCCAAAAAGGCAGGGGGCGGCGGTGATTCAGTTTGAAAGGGGTTGGGAGGCCCAACCAGCAACTTCGCCGGAGGCGAAGCCCAGCTCCCGCTCTGTTGTACCGTAGTAACGGTAGCCCCGGTAGTAGGGGGCGAGCCATCTCAAGAAGTTTTGGTATCGATGGCAAGTGGTACACCTCGCACTGAGGTGTAGTCAGACCTGCGCGGCCGGCCGCTTTGAGCCAAGCAGCCGCGGATGCACGCTCGTTCCCACTCACATGCAACGCCCAGCTCACTTTAGAGTCGGGGGGGGGGGGGAGACGAAGCGTGAACCCGCCGCCTCTATACAGCAAGTATAGCAGCGATTATTTACAAAAAGGGCAGCAAAAGAGCGGGGACGTAAGGAAGGTGGACCCGCGCGCAAGTTGCCTTGCCTGCGCTAAACTGTGCATACGAATGCTCCTCAGGCGGCTACAGAACGAGATGTCTGGCCAGCCCGACAGGGAACATGACGCTTTAAGTCATGTTTGAAGGAATGTGTACCTCCCATGACCTGTAGGGGCATTTCTCTGTCGATGCTCCCCTTGGTGTGACCGTCAGCAGTCATATCGCGGTTGTCACACCACTGAATACTGTGCACGATTCCTCGCTCCATCATCTGTCGTATCCAGCTGATGCGCCCTAAATCGGTACACTCAGTCGGCTTCTCCAAGTCTTTGCTTGACAAGGACTTAACAACAGACTTAGCATCTATGGTCAAAGTGACCTTGGTGCTCAGGCCACCCAACTCAAGTATGTCTTTCAACTGAGTGGGAGTTAGCGGCCCTGCATGGAGCTCGTGCTGAGTTACGATCGTGGGATGAAAGTCCTCCAAGTTGTGGGCAGCTGCTAGTGTCTCTGCTGAATAGCTCGAGCGGACCTGCAAGCGGTGAGACTTGCAGTACGCATCGATCAAGCGAACGACGGGCTTGCCAGATGGCGTGCTTCCACGCCGTAGCAGGTTTGCCCCGCGAATACCATAGCCTTTGACTTCGCCATCGGCGTCTCCACTCAGGCGTCGGTAACCTGAGTCGCTGCGCAGGTCAACCTCGCCCGTATTGGTCATCGCCTGGTCGACGATCTTCTTAGGGCAGGCCTGCAGTTTCGTGGTAATCGCGCTCAATCGTCGCACTTGTATATTGGTCGGTTCTTGGACACGCTGTAAAGAAACAAGATTCGTGATTAATGCATACGCCAGTGCGCCTCTAAGGCTGACGAACATGTCTGCGACCATCTTGGATGCCTGAGCGTCAGCGTCGGCGCCGGTTAGTTCAGGATGTTGAGTAGGACGGAGCTGCATGATGTATTCGTCTTGGTCCAAAGAAACACTGCTGTCCTCATCCTTGGTACATCTCACAGCACAATTGGTGCATGCGTGCTTGTTGAGTTTACACTCGCCAAAGGTGTCTTCTACGCACTTGACATGCTTGCCAATGGTGTCCTCAGTGCCGCCCATATTGATATCATCAACATGTTTGGCCGTAAGCAGGTTACTGCTCGTCTCGAACTCCTCGTCGTAGGACGTAGGTCTGAGACCAGAACCTCTCGTGGTCCTTCTGAGCTTTCGTTGGAAAGCTCGGGGTGCGTCCTTGGCGCCAGTGCCTGGCTGAAGGCGCTGCAAGCAGTGCTTCGACACGTCGTCGCGTTCGAATCCTGGGAAGGTTCGAAGAGCCGTGGCCGATCCAGACGGCAGAGTAAAACGCACCATGCGTTCATTTTTCACCAGTTGCCTCAGCAAGTTCCTGGCAGGTCTACCTCTTTTCAGGAGGGCCATGTTGATGTCGAGGGAGGCAATGGTCCATTGCTCCTTGCGCGCTGCCGTGCTCGCGAGTAGTCTCCGGCTTGACCGCCGCGCTGTTCCCGAAAAGGTTTCCGTATTAAAATGCTTCCAGGTCCATGGAGCCTCGAGGCACCAAGCGCAATCTGATGGTACGTTCCATGTTGCCCATCTCGTTCTTCACGAGCTTCCATTTGTCCACGTACCTCGAGGTCATGATGTTTGACGCTTTAGATATGTCTTGCAGTTTGAAGCACTTGTTGTCAAAACATGTCTTGAGTTCAGTGCATCGGACTTTCGATACTTTCTCGGGATTCGCCTGGATGACAGCCTTAGCGAGGAGGTTGTATTCCTTGACGAGCGCAGCTCGCTTTGCAGCGGTGACAACATATACTCGCATGGTGGTCACACGGTCGGCATCGAATATCCTGTGCTGTTGTTCGGACAGGACTACCTTTGACATTTCTGCCGCGAAGCAGAATTC